CCCTGGAAAACCTGATTTAACCTCTTTAAGGCAGGGGTTCTAGGAAATCTGGTGGAGCCTTGTGTACCCCTTCTCAGGGTAATTTTTTTGCCAGCATTCAGAATTAGTTAGGTTGGAAGGGACAATCTGTGAGGGAACTTTTTATATTATTCGGTGAGTGTAGGAGACAGCATAGAGGGAAGTAAGATAGAAGTGCTGTCTCAACCACAAATCACTGAACCTCATAAGGACTCTGCTGTAAAAGTAGAGGTATGGATGAAATGAACCTTCTAGCTGTTTCTTTCTCTCAAATCTGGTAACTCTGAAATTGCAACTATGTGGAGGACTCCTAGGTGTAGCTAGCATCTGTTTAATTGCCTTAGTGTGGCACCTTGCCTGGCATCCCATTACAGGTGGATGTGGGAAAAACACTCTAAGGAAAATAATGAGTATTTCCTCCCTTTGATTTTATAAAGATGCAAGCCCCGAATAATAGGACGTCAGTGTGATCACTGTGCTTCTGGGTTTTACCGTTTCCCTGAATGTATTCCTTGCAATTGTAACCGAGATGGGACTGAGCCAGGAGTATGTGATCCATGGACAGGTGTATGCCTTTGTAAGGTAAGACACATCAAACCAGTTATCAGAAGCTAACAAATAAGTGGTGGGTTTTTGTTTTGTTTTCATTTATTATTGTCAATAATAACTAGCATTTACATAGTGTTATAAGGTTTGCAAAGTGCTTTACAAATATTATCAATTTTGTCCTTACAACAACCTTTGGCAGAAAGGTGCTATTATGATTCTCATTTTATAGACGAGGAAACTGAGACCAAAAGATGTTAAATGACTTGCCCAGAATCATACAGCTAGTAAGTATCACAGGCTGTACCTGAATTCAGGCCTTCCTGTGCTTAGCAGCTTGGATCAGTGCAGGAACATAGTAGGTGCTTAATAAATGTTTATTGATTGATTGTCAGCTAAGTCAGAGGTGCCAAACTTGAGGCTCCACAGCCAGTCCCAAGGCTATACAACTCAGAGTGCAAAGGAACCATATTAAAATGTAACTGGGAAATGTTTTGTTTTTTCAAATATAACATGGATAATGTTAATTTCTGGGTTTTTGAGTCAAGAACAGCCAGCAGGGATCCCTTTCCATTTGAGTATGATGTCACTAACCCTGCTGACATATTTAGGCCATATGTAGTCCTGATCATCCATTAACATTCCAAGGTGAGATACCTTATTGTGTGCTGGAGATGGATTTTGGAAGGTAAAGCCAGAATTATGTAAGTTCTGTGAGATTCTACTGGGTTGTAAGTCTTAGTGTGGACCCAGCCATGGGTATTATAGCCATCATCCCAGGACCAGGCTGGCTAAGTGTTAAGTGATGCATCCCTAGAAGGTTGTATCTAGCAGAGGATGATATTTTTGAAGTTAATTGACCAGAATTCAGGGGTGTTACAATCTTGTCTGTATTAAAGCTAAAATTAGTTTCTGAAGTATTGAAACATGGAGTAATATTCAAGGGAAAGGTAGGTGGCACAATGAATAGAGCACTGGGCTTGGAATCAGGAAGACTTGTCTTCCTGAGTTCAAATCCAGCGTTGGACAGTTACTAGCTGTGTGACCCTGGGCAAGTCACTTAATCCTGTTTGCCTCAGTCTCCTCATCTGTAAAATGAACTAGAGAAGGAAATGGTAAACCACTCTAGTAACTTTGCCAAGAAAACCTCAGATGGGGCCACGGAGAGCCTAGAAAACAACTGAACAAGAACAATTCAAGGAAATGTGAACTCATCAGTAGGGATAGGGCCAGGACCTGTGATTTTATTGGTATAGGGAACACCCAAGTAAGGAACCTCTCCCATCAATGCAGGCGAGTGCCTGCTCTGCAACTTCCAGTTGGAGAGTTGCCTAGGGCATCAAGAGGTTAAGTGACTTGCCTAGGGTCACACAGCCAGGGTGTGTCTAAGGTGGGCCTTGAACTAGTTCCACCCAGCTCAGAGGCTGCTCACTCTTCATTATTCTCCATGGCTCCTCAGCAGTGTATAGATTGGGTATGGTTAGGTTGCAATCTCTGTCACTGGAGAGAGTGTCCCAGTACTGAAATACAAGAATTCTCAAATTCCGATTCTTCACTGAATCTGTGAAAACAAGTCCCCTTTGCTAGCTTTTGCCTTTTCCCAGGAGAGAAAGTCCCCTGTCACACAGACAGTTGCCTCTTCCCATGATCTCCCTGCCCTGTTTCACCTCTGTTCCTTTTTGAATGTCACAGATTTTGGCGATGCTCTGGCACAAAGATGTATTGGAGCTGGGGGGAGGATAGAAAGCCAAGATGATCAACCGATTCCCATGGCTCTGCAGTGAGGCAGAAGAGCTTCCATATTGTGGTTGTGGAAAAAGCAAGAAATCATAGGAAATGAGCAGTTTTTAAAAAGAAAACTTGACCACCTGAAAGGGAACTAATGATGCAAGCTAAAAACCTACTGAAGACAGGCTTCCTTAAAGTAATCTCAAAAAAAAAATACTCTGTGTATACTGTAGGAAAATATACACCACAGGCAACTGGTGAAGTAGTGGATAGAATGCTGGGGCCAGAAGTCAAGAAGACCTGAGTTCAAATCAGATTCTGTGAGTCATTTAACTCTGCCTCAGTTTCCTCAACTGTAAAATGGAATAATAATAACACCTACTTCTCAGGGTTGTTGTGAGGATCAGAGAAGATATTTGTAAAGCATTTAGTATAATGCCTGGCATGTACTAGGTAACATATAAATGTTTATTTCCTTTCCCTAGGAGAAGGTGAATATAAACTCTCTGAAGGCTTTGTCTTTGTAGCTCCAGTACAAAGCACAGTGTCTTGTACTTAGCAGTTTAATAAATCCTTCTTTTTTAAATTAATTTTTTCAACCAACAAAAATTGGTTTTTCTCTCCCTTTTACCTCCTTCCAAACCAATACAAGAAGCATTAAAGGAAATAAAACCTGTAAAGACTTATATGAATTGATGTAGAGTGAAGTGAGCAAAACAGAGAGAGCAATTTATACAGTAAGAGCAAGTATTGTAAAGACAACAGACTTTGAAAGACTTGAAAACTCTGATCAACACAGGGACCAACAATGATTCCATAATACCAATGATGAAGCATGCTGTCCGCCTCCCAGCAGAAAAGGGATGACTTACAGGTCTTGTGAACAGTGAGCCCTGGCAGAAAAGCGATGACATATAGGTCTCATGAACAGTGAGCTGGTTTTTTGCTCATTTAAAACCCTCCCACTTCTGCTGTGTCCTTTTTCTCTAAGACTTAGGTATATTTTGTGATGACAATGGAGAGCCTGGTTCTGGAGCACTCCGAACAGCTGATTGATAATGATGGCATCTGTGAGAACAGCTACTAGTTTTTAAATTAATTAATTTACAACATTTATAATAAATTGTAAAACAAATTGTTAATTAAATTAATTTAAAATATTAATTAATGATTAATTATATTATATAATTAAGAATAAATTAAATAAATTTTTTTTGGTGGCACATGAGCTGCCCATATCTTTGGTACTTTTCATATGTGTCTGGTATGGAATTTTGCCATCCAATGTCTTTTATTTTCTTTTTTTTTTTTTGAAACTAGGTCTTCCTATTTCACCTAGGCCACTCACTGGCCCCATCCCACTGCTGATCAGCATAGAAGCTTTGGCCTACTGAGTTTCAACATGGGCCACTTTGCTTCTCCTTATGAAGCCTTACAACTCCTCCTCTCAGAGGCTTACCATGCTGGTGTCAGATTTGATACAAATACCCCATCACCTTAGCACACTGAAGCTCAAAACTCCCAAGCTCAAGCAGTCCCTGGCCATCCATTTCTTTTAATGTTTTGTAACCATCTATGTGCCAACACTTCCTATTTTTGTAGAATTTGAGAACAACAAAATACTACGAGGGACTTAAAAAAAACTGACCATTTTTTTTTGCTTTAATAGGAAAATGTAGAAGGTGCAGAATGTAATGTTTGCCAGAAGGGGTCATTTTACTTGGACCCCACCAATCCAAAGGGATGTACCAGCTGCTTCTGTTTTGGAATAAGTGACCACTGTCATAGTACAAATAAGCGGAGAGCTAAGGTATGCCAGGCATTAAAGTCTTTCTACTTTTAGTAGATTGCCACATGTTGAGAAGGGGCCAAGAAATTAATGTGAAATTTCAGCTTTTTGAAGCATTTGATTTGTCAGTCTTGATAATGATGAACTTGGGTGGTAATAGTCCAAAATACCAGATTTAGGGTCCTTCCTCCCTTGCTCTTTCTCTTCATAACACCATTTTTCAATTTTTAATTTCTTTCCGTCATAATTTACCATCTCATTTTTTTCTATCCCTGTTTCTAGATCATAAAAATCCCTAAATACTTTCTTCTCTTCATAATTTCAATATCACTTCCTTGTTTGCTCAGTATGAGTTATGCTCAACCTACAGGAAAAGAAAGCCTATTCATTTTTTAGTTGTTTACTTCTTTCAAGGAGGTAAACTGATAAAAGGGGGGAAAAGGTTTATAAATCTCAGGACATTCAGAAGGGACCACTATTTCCCTGACCAAGAAAAGGACTATCAAGTTATCAGTTTATCAGTTATTTCTTCTTTCTCATAGTTTTTCCTCAATTGCTTTATGACTTGGTAGACATTTTTAACCATGTTATATATGACCTAACTATAGAATGGAATGAAATTTAAAGGCTACCACTGTATTCCATTCAACATTGGAAAGTTATGAGGGTTAATAAGGCACATGTCTGCTCTAAGGAGTTTCTTTGGGTAGGTTGCGGGGGAAAGTGCATCCTATCCAAAGCTTCGCTATTCCAGAACAAGTTGGGTGTCATGTAGTTAAACCTTCACTTGGCTTTGATGCAAGCTTTCATAGGAAATCTATAACAACATGACTTCTCGATTGTAAACAACTGAGTTATTTCTCAAGAAGTCTGTAGCAGAGAAGTGGGGGACACTGGTCACAGAGTATCATATGCAATGTCCAATAAGGCCACTGTAGCAGATGTTTTTATTCAGTTATTTTTCTTTGTCACAAGGGAGAATTACATCTTGAGGAGGGTGGGAAGTGAAATGACTATATCGCAAAGACAAAAGACATGATTAAAATGCATTTTTCAAAAGAAGGCTGCAGCAACAGAGCTCATGGAGGAAAGACATGAATGAGTTTCATTCCCCTACTTTTATGTTCCAGTTTGTTGACATGATAGGTTGGCGCCTGCAGACAGCAGATCAAATGGACATCCCTGTCACGTTCAACCCAGGCAGTAACAGTGTGGTTGCCGACGTCCAGGAGCTGCCTTCCTCGGTCCACAGCGTGTACTGGATTGCGCCACCATCCTATTTGGGGGACAAGGTAAGAAATGTCAAAAGAATGGCCAGCTCTTCAGGATGTGTTCCGCTGATAGCTCCCATGCCCCCTCCTTTTAGCCTCCTTAGCCCATATCGTGTGATAGGATGGGATCACAGAAGAAGCTACCCAGGGGTGAGTGTCACTATTAATGAAACAGAGCCAGATTCTGCTCCTCCCCCTATAGTTCTTAAAATTGTAGACGTAGAGCTGGAGGGAGTCGAACTCCCTCAATTTTACAGATAAGGAAACAAGCTCAGAGAGATGGCTCAAGGTCACACAGGTAGTGAGTCACAGAGATGGGATGTGAATCCAGGCCCTCTGCTTCCAGACACAGAGATGGCTCTTTCCATGGTTCTAAGAGGGTTCGCAGGATAGCTGAGAGAAGATGGGAGAATGTACAGACAAGGCCATTAAGAGGATACAAGTCTTTGTACAGACAAATATGCCCAGGTATACCTCAAGTGGGAGGAAGACCCCACTGACTAAGGTAGGCCTTGGAGTGAGATTGGTAATTCTTTCTGTTATGCGATGGAGTCTTCCCAGAGGAGGTAGGCCAGGCCCTTTACTTTGATTCACAGTAACTTGGGTCACTTCAGTCTCATTTTCTTTATGAGTTTAGAAGCTGTGCTATTTATATATAGTGCATTCAAGTATAGTATGGATATTGCTTCATTGTGTGTGGTTCCTTTAGGCATAATCTGGTTTTCCTCTGATGGTCCTGCTCTCCACCCCATTTGCAGAAAGGGGAAAACTTCTCCTGTTGCCTTTTGGCTCACAGTAGCATCCCTCTGTATTGTTTTCAAAACCTTAGAGGAGAAAGGGGTCTCTTTTCTTGTCATTCCTGTCTTCTGGCATGAAGGGCCTCTTGAGGGGTTGGCATGAAAGATAGGCATCAGGTTATAAAAAGAATGCACTCAAAGAAATGATTTACCAGATGGTTCTGAGCCTCCTTAAAGAGTGACCTCATTTTAGTGAGAACTCAACTCCTGGACCTGGATTATCAAGCATAGAATTTTTAGGTTAGACCACAGAAGTTTGAGCCACCCTCATTAACACCACCAATACATACACCTTCAATATGAATTCTTTGTACCATATCACTAAGAAGTAGTTATACAGCTTTAAACTTCTAATGGTAAGAACTCATTATCTCCTAATTCCAATTGCAGATAGCTGTGATTTTTAGGCTTTTTGCTTATAGTGGCCTGAAATCTATTCTCTTAAAATTTCCACCTTTGGATCTGAGCTCTGTCCCTTGGGGCTCAGTGGAAGTTCCACAGGACAGCTTTTCAAATATTTGAAATCACTGGTCACATTCTCCACCAGTCTTCTCTTCTTAAGCCGGAAGTCCAGAGTACATTGGCCATTTGACAAATGCAGATCAATGATGAATCAGTAGCAAATTAATGTTTTAAGGAGGACAGTTGTGTAAATATTATGCTTGAATGGCTTCCTTCCCTGTCCAGAAACTCATTAGAATTTCCGAGGAGAGTAAAAAATGTTGACAATGAACGCTGACCAAAGAGTAGTTGTGGCCACCATCCCAAAAGGTACACCTCCCTTTTCTGATATCCCTCTTCCTTCCCAACCCCCAAGTCTCAGTAGCATCTAGCTAAGGAAGTTAGCATTGATCCCTTGTCTCACCAAGCTTATGAGACTCATCTTCTCTGATCCAATATAAAGACAACTGCAGGGTAAAGAAACCAATAAATAATGTAATTGATTAGGACAGGAATAACTAGGACTTTTTCTTCCTACCTCTTTTCCTAAATCTTTTACATTTAAAACAAGTTAGATGCTTAAGAAAATGACAAATGTTCCTGTGAGCCAGTAGGTTCTCTATGAGATATGATAGAGCAGAGTGCTTATTTTCAAAAGGGAGCAGGGATTTCACTGACTAAATGTGAAATGCATTAATTTTGTAAAGAACCACTTTCACCTCAATCAGGGGAGAGCAGTAGACGTGGTGGCAACTGTTCTTCTTGCAGTAATCCACTCACCAAATGAAGCCATGCCCAGTGCTACCTCTCCTGTACCAATTGTGTCAGATTTTACATTCAAACACTCTCTGCTGCAAATGATATTTTTTAAATGACATTTTGTCATCAATCTTTTGTTTTAAAGCTATTAGAAAGCTTCTTGTCAGAATAACAAAAGATAGAAAATGGAATGATTCAGAGGATTATTAAAGGAAGCAAATACAATGAAGTGTCATCCCCATAAGATTCACTAATAGCAACCAACTCAGGAATTATACTCAGGCATTTTATAAACCCAGCGGCCTCCTTCTGGAGTGTCATAGGGATCAGGCATAGGAAAGATCTATCCTCCACTAATTAAGCTCAAGCTACTCTTTACGGACCTCAAACCCCTAATTCTGTTACCTGGGCAAATTAGTATGCATTTACTCAGCAGCGTATAGCAGCTTGCAAAGCACTTTCCTTTCAAAGACCCTGGGAAGTAAATACTGGAAGTATTAGTCTCAACATTTTAAAGTGAGATATCTGAGCCTCAGAGAGATTCAAGGACACACAGCTGTAAGCGGCAGAGCCAGAAACCCAATCCAGACCTTGTGACTCTAAATCCAGTTCTGGGCTATGGGTGTTCATGTTTGTAAGTGCAGTGGTTATCCCACCTCCCCTTCCTCCTTGTCCTTTTCTCACTCTCTCCATATCCCTCCTCCCCTTTCTCTTTTAGCTAATTAAAACAGCTAAATAATCCTAACCCTTTCAAGCAGATTTAAGATGCTCATTTGGAATAACATTGCTTTTATGTTTAGATATCTCTTTAACTTAAGAAGACAGTAATTGCTAAGAAAAACCATTCGAGAACTGGATGTCTACTGCTGTCTTCTGAAATGCTTACATTCAACCGTCATTGACTTGCTGTGATGGTGTGGCTGCTTTTGTGACCCTTCCATCTTAATTCTCCTCTCTAGGCCACCCCTTGAGACATAGCTCTCACTCTGTGACTTTTGCTTTATTTAAGAAAGGACACATCTAGCTCAGGGATGACTTGGAGAGAAGGGAAAAACGAAGCATATGATCCTTAAGTCTTTTCTCAGATAACTGGGTATAGAGGTTATCTGGGGTGAGGTCTATCTGCTTTTACACACACACACAGACATAACCCTAAATTTAATTAGTGTTCATGAGAGGTGACTGGTATTTTAGAAGGGGTACTGGATCTTGAATCAAAAGGACAGGGGTTGAATCCTGTCTTTGCCACTTGTGCCATCTTTAGCTGCTCACTTAGTGGCCTCATCTGTAGAAAGAATTAGATGGTCTATAACGTCTCTTCCATCTCTGAATCTATGGTTTTATGAATTAGATGTTCCTGGGAAGCCGAGTCTACTAATAGGAATACATTTCCCTCTATGCTAAGATTGCTCAGCAGTTACAATGTGGATGGTCAAAAGGTTACCTCCAGACCAGATACAGGTCGGGCACTGATCCATTGGTAAAGTCAAAGGATCACAGTGTTTTTTTTAATGTTAAAACTATTTTTAAAAATTTATAATACTTTGTTTTCCCCCAATTACATGTTAAACAGTTTTTAACATTTGTTTTGTTTTTAAGTTTTGAGTTCTAAATTCTATCCTTCCCTCCCTCCTTCCTCTCCTCTCTGAGACTATAAGCAATCCAATATAGGTTATAAATGTGCAATCATGTAAAATGTTTCCATATTAGTCATTTTATATAAGAAGACAAAGAAAGAAAGAAAAGAAGGAAGGGAGGAAGGAAGGAAGGAAGGAAGGAAGGAAGGAAGGAAGGAAGGAAGGAAGGAAGGAAGGAAGGAAGGAAGGAAGGAAGGAAGATAGCATGCTTCAGTCTATATTCAGACGATACCAGTTCTTTCTCTGGAGGCAAATAGCGTGCTTCGTCATGAGCCCTTTGGGATTGTCTTGGATCATTATATTGCTGAGAATAGCTAAATTATTCATAGTTCATTATACAGTATTGCTGTTACTGTGTACTCCTGGTTCTGCTTAATTCACTGTGCATCAGTTCATGTAAGTCTTTCTAGGTTTTTCTGAAATCATCCTGCTTGTCATTTTTTATAATATAATAACATTGCATCACAATCATAAACCATAGCTTCTTCAGCTATTCCCCAATTGATGAGCATCATAGATTTTTGAATTTGAAATATAGATTTAGAACTGGATGGAACTGCAGAAATCATCAAGGCCAGACCCTTTATTTTGCAGATGAAGAGACCAAGGCACAGAAAGTTTAGGTGATTTGCTTAAATTCACATCAGAAGTAGGATTTGAACCCAGGTCTTGATCATTCCAGATCTCATTCCCTGTGCACAATACCACATTGACCCTCCTAGATTTAGGACTATAAGGGACCTCAGAGAAATCACAGTCTTGGTCCTAGTGGTTAATCTGCTTCTCATTCCCATTCCTTTGCTTTTAGCTCATAGAATTCCACAGCTTTCTAAGGCTTCCCATTTCTCCTTTCCCTCCTAGTAGAAGAGTAAGGTTGAAGTTATCAGCTAGTCTCCCAAATCCTCCTCCTTGTTTATTTAGATGTGTACTTGTGTACCCTGTTTATGTGAGGTAATTTTCCTTTCCCCTAATCTTCCTTTCCTCCCCACCCCAGTGTAGTCTTCTTCGCCTCTCTTTCCATTCTTCAGTTAAGATCATCAAAAACATAACTGAACAACTCCCAGCCTTGTCTAATTATATTCCCTCTATGACTCCAAAAATGATAGAGTTCAGAAGGGATACATGTATTATCTCACCATATTTGGATGTAAGCAGCAATTTGAATGTGATTGCTTAAATTTAATTGAAAGCAATGTATGCTTTATGAATAACAGTTTATCCTCTTTTAGTCTCTTATCATTGTTCATTCATGTTTATTTTTTTTAGGTTTCTCTTACCTTCTATGTTTGAACTTCACAGTGTCTATGCAGCTGGGGTCTTTTAATCAGGAATGCTTAGAAGTCCTTTATTTCATTTAAGGTCAATTTTTCC